GCAACCACATAGGTCCTTTGATCCACCTCTGAACAATTGGCGTGGCTGCAGAAAAATTATAAAGGGAGTATAAAGTCAGTCTGCAGACTATGATCTTCCTCACATCCTAGTAGAATAAAATGCTCATACACAAATACCAGTATTTGAAGTTTTGAAAAATAACATTATCCAAGGAAATAGATGGCAGAAAGCCACTCCGACGCCTGCGGTATCTATTAAGATTTCATTGGTTTACTTTATATTTATTTAACCACAATCGGATTACTGTTTACTCATCAAAGACAGGAAAGAAAGCAACCATGATTGTTAAATCCACAATTGAAGACTTAACTACAGGGAAAAAACAATGGAGAAATTATACGAATAAAGAAAGCTTAGCATACCATGGTTGAAGCCATAAAAGGCCACCGCAGTGCCACCAACAGCCGATCCTATCTTAAATCAGCAAGAAATTTGGCAGAAACGCTTAATAAGGTACACAAAATGCATAAATTTACTATTCAAACAAGCCATACCATAGAAAAGCTATCCCTAATTAGCAGCGGAACAGTCCAGTCACTGGTCTCCTGCAAATGAATTAAAGTTCAATACTGAGAAACTGCGTAAAACAGAATTAGAAACTATAAAAAGTAATAATTTTTACCATCTCTTTGGAAAGAGGGCCGGCGCAGTGAGGACATCTCATGCTTTCAATATCGCTTCTTCTTCTTATTCTCCCGGCTTCAATGTTTGAATGTTCCGCCATAGCTGCAATGATAAATATTTACAAGTGGAGGCATACAGTCGATGCGTGAGTAAACTAGCGCTACTGTAGAGAGAGAGAGCGAGAGCGGGGTAGAGGGAAAAGGGTCGAAGAAGAAGAATGGAAATGGGCCCATGGCCCAAGGCAGCCAAGCTCAAGTGTTTCTCGAGAAAGGAGAATAGGCCCAATAAAGAGAGAGACATGAAGAAATGACAAAACGGCACAGTGATTATAGCACTAACTTGTTCTAGATTTCACTAGCAAAAGAAAGTAACATAAATTGCATACCTTCTTTCACACTTATAGCCATATATCTATTTCTTCTTGGCATTATGCATGTGAGTGAGTCTTTCTTTTGTAGCACAAATGATGATATGTAGAATTTGAGTTGAGAGATGTTAGATCTCCTCTAAGCTTTCTGCGAATTCTTAAATAAATAATTTCATCCAAATTGACTATTGAGTTGGCTAGAAATGTATTTTATCTCGATTGATATAGGTTGGTAGAAGGAGACACCCCCAAGGACGAGCAAGGCAAATCACAGCACACCAGTGCAAGGCCATCGACTCTCATAGGGCGTTCTACCACTACACGTCTAGGGAGCGCTCTACCACAACCACCAAAGGGCGCTCTACCGCTACCCCAAGAAATCATTCTACCACTAAGCGAAATCCTCAACGGGAATGATATCCTTTGTCCAAACACTTAGCCATAAAACCTTTAACGAATCGACAAGGTTACATGGCCGCTGATACAGGTACAATCTTCAGACAGGAAGTTAAGGACTCATCACTCAGAACGTGGGTGTAGTGGGAATATCATCGTGGGACACGTGGCACCACAACCGCCCAGCGGTTACCTAGTGCCTAATATCTATAAATACCCCCGGATGAGACACAGGTAAGGGATGATTTTTTTTTTAGCTCCCATTCTCCTTTTTAGCCATCTGATCTTCAAATATATTCTTTCCAAGTCTGAAAACTAATTCTCATGCCGGAGGTAAAACGGGGGAGAAAGCCCCGCTTTCATTTTTCAGGTCTTGCATACTTGACGGAGTGGTGGAAACGCCAAACATTACCGGGTAAACAGAAGGGTGTTGAATCACCGCCTTTCATCGATCATGAATAGATAAAAAGAAATTATACAAAAAAGGGAAAAGAAAGAGAGTATGAGAAGTAGTACTTCTTGTTTAATTTCTCCCACCTCAAATTCTATTGCAGTCGTCTCTTGTGTTCATATTCTATTCGGGACAACTTTGAAAATAGCTGGTAATTTCCTCCTATTTTTCACAATAGCCTTTCTTATCAAAAGTACTATATTGCCCTTAATGAAATTATTTTCAATATCTATCTTATATTTTTAAAGAATTGTCAATCAGGTCCTATATCTATATTTTTCAATCTTTTGAACACCTTTAAATATTCTTTATATTTTAATAGTTCTTCAAAGATTATAGGTTGACCTCTCTTAGTTATATATCCTTTAAATAATCCTTTTGAGATTTCTTCTTGTATATTTGTATGTTTAGTTATAATATCTTCTACTTTTCTTATTTCTCTACTAGTTCCTACAGGATTAAATCCTATATTATTTCTACAATTATAATCTATATCTCTGTATATTTCTTCTATTTTTTCTCTACCAACAGGAAATATATCAT